CTAACTTGTGATCAAGTTGGTAAACAATAAGAATCAAATTATGAATTTTTTTAGTTCAAGAACTAAATTAGAGGTCTGTAAAATAATTGAGGGACTAAGTTAGGGTTTAACCATGTTTTATTGTTTTTTACTTGAATGGAAATATCATGATGGACATATTTCGAATAATTGAAAAAAACTTTAAACTTAATTAATCAATTGTTGATATTGAGAATATGTTAATATAGTACTGTACTCGACAAACTTAATAAGAGTAAGGTGAAACGATTCTTAATTTGGTATTAATGAGTTAATCTCATATAATGGTTTTGGATTCAATTCATCAAACTTGCATCAGAAAGCTATTATGTTTTGCTTAGTTAAAATGCCTTCAGATGGTTATTCTAATAAATAAGTGGGTGATGTGAGCTAAACTCCAAATTAAAGTTACCAAGTGAACATATTGTACTTGTGACACAAGCACTAAATCTATAAAGATAAAAGATTCTGCCATCTTTGGCGTCTCCAGCACTCAAAATTAAGCAGGTGGAAGATTGTCCAACTTCCCTCTCCTGATTTTAATTTGTTTGTCTTGTCTTCAACAATTCTTATAGAAGACATATAACTACATATGTATTAATTAAAGATCAAATAAGCAAGGTTTTTGGAGAAGAGGATGGAATATAACTGGAAATATAGGACTAATTATCAGATTTTCACTGGTTACGGGATGCAAGTTGGTCCAACCCAGGGAATTTGGATGGGTTTCAATTTCAGGCCACACCAAAATTCTATGTAAACTTGGTTCAAGATCTAGAACCAACTTCTATGGAACCAATCCATTTCGATTTTATAATTTTTTTTGATAAAAAATAATATAATTATAATTTATTATTATATAATTTATTATTTTTATTTAATAATTTATTATAATATTATATATTTGATTATTTAATAATAAATTATAATACTACATAATATTATAATTATATTATTATTGTTTTTTGAGTTGGATTTGGCTTGGATTCATTTTCTTCTTCTTCTTCTTTTTCTTTTTCTCCTTTTCTTTCTTACTTTTTTCTTTTTCTCGCTTTCTTCACTAAAGATGAAGCTTTTTTTCTTATTTCTTTTTTCTCTTTCTTGTTTTTTTTTTTAAGCCAAATTCTTTCTCTTTCTATTTAGTTACAAAATATTAGAAGGAAAGGGAAGAAATCATTTATTTTATTTTTCTTTTAATTTTTTATTTATTCATATAAAAAAATTAAACAAATTAAAAAAATTACGAAATCCTCTCATTTTCCTCATCTTCTCTCCGTCTTCCTCAAATCAAAAGCACCCTTAGTTAGTTAGTTTGGGTTCATACAGGGCTACCATGGACCCTGAGTCACATGTCAGGCTGTTTGGACCTGGGCCACGCCCCCAGGTTTATTTGTTTGTTTGTCTTTTTTTTTTTTTTTTTAATAAAGGGCTACACCCCATGTTATTACTGCAGCTTGTGATTTTGATAGTTAATTAACAAAATATTCTTTCTAGAAAAAGGGTTGCGATGGTTTAAGCTTTTTGATCCCTTTAATTTGTTTTTAACTTATTATAAAGTAGCTTATTAAAAAAAAAACGTTTTGGTTAATTGGAACAAAAAAATGATATTAGAAAGGATGGTGGGGGGGGTCAAAATATAGTCGGAGTGACATGTTATATGCCTTTCTTTAATTAATTATGCCTTATCAACATATGTTTTTGTCAAGAAAGTGATAACTTTTATTCATCGTCTTCTTAATCGTCCCAAATTTGTCTACTTCCTTCCATTACCTACTTTCAAAAGAAAAATCGTCGACTTCCTAATGATGACTAGATGACAACAAGATTGATACTGATTTTAGTGAACGGCTGTAGGAATTCACATCCATACCAGTTTTTTAATATTTATTTAAGAATCTATCATACATTCAGCTGACTATGGACGTAAAAATTATTTTTTTTATAAAAAGATATTTTTTAATTTAAAGTGATTTAGATTATAAAGTATTAATTATTTAATAAAAATTAAATCTTTTAATATTATAAATTATTCTCTCATCAAATAATTTTTATTTTATAATTTAAATTAATTTAAATTATAAAATATTTAAAACAGTCAAATGTATTTTCGAATCAATTAGTATCAATCCATGTAAGATTATAAATTGTCTTTGGCACCATGCACCTTAGATATATCAGAAATCTGAAGTCGGCTTCTGGGGTGAGGTGGAAATCAATTGAAAGGAGAGAAAATTGCCGGCCGGCAGGCCGACCTTGCAATTAATTGGGCATATGACCTTATCCATGTCCCCTTGTTTTTTTTGGTTCACTACACTTCATCTAGTCATCGTTAATAAAAAAAAATGGACTGATGACTCGTTCGACAATGGTTGGGTAATGAAAAATTACAAAATAAAGGAAATAGAGACGCCATCACCATGTTTTCCTTCCTCCAAATTCAACGTGACACGGCAGCAACACTTGTGTTGAAGTTGACATATTGAAAAGGCCTTTTTTTTGACTTTTTTTTGTTTTTGAACACGAAAATTTTAGAAAAAATGAGTAATTTAATTGCTATGATAGCGAATATAACCCTAATATTTACTAAGAATTTAATGCATCTTAATTAAGTCAGTTGAAAATTGTGAGTGTGGCTTTTTATTGAGATTGGATGAGAAATTCAACATTTTTGTCGATTATTTTTTAATTAAAATATTTTACTTTGTAGTTTAAACATTGTTTAGATATTATTTTATAAATTAAATTATATTAAATTATAAAATATAATTATTAAATAAACAAATCTTAATATTATGAGATTTATTATATTTAATCATTAATATTATATAATTTAATATAATTTAGATGATAATTTATTATTTTTTTTTTTATAAATATGGTGGCTGCGGATATAAAATTTTTTAAAAACCTAATGAAGATTCGGAGGTTGAAATTTCTTAGATTAGATTCGAATATGTTTCACTCATTATTAGGATCTGTGACGGAGCTTGACCGGCCAGATTGAAGGGGCGGTGGGTGGGGTAATGTAATAAAAAAGTGGGTATTAGTTTGTATCGTAAAAAATTAAATAAGAAAATATTTTAAAATTAAGTTATTTTAATAAAATTTTATTTAAAAAATTAAAATATTTTAATTATTTTTTAAGTATAAATGAAGATGTTTTATTTTTTATAATATTTTATTAAAAATAACATAATTTAAAAATATTTTTTTACTTAATTTTTTACAAATCAAACTAATAAACATTAATCTTATAATATAAATTATAATATATATAAAATATAAAAGGTGACTTACTATCAAAAATCATACCATAAAATTAACTTATTTTATTTACTCACGTGATAAGAATTTACATTCTAAGTCGCTTTTTACAAACATTATTTTTAATTTTTTAAAATTACCAATCATCTTTACATCTTAGGTTTGATTTGTTGAACTGAACTAAGGTGTTAAAGAGAAAAATCAATATAAATGTCAACAAAAAGAATCATAGCAAAGAATTAAAAAGACTCATTCGAAATTCAAGAGCATAAATTAATCACTTAAAATTTTGTCATTAGCATAAGAAAATATCAAATAAAAAATTAGAAATGCTAATTAGTATATAAGAAAATAGAGATTTATTCATATACCAACAAAGTTCAATATTATCATAAGAAATTTCGTTTGAAATTATAATTTTATAACAAAAACTCATAATCAAGTAAGATGAATAATCAGTTTATAAACTATGTAAATATTTTCAAAAAAGAGAAAATTATAATTGTTTAACAACTAAAAAAATTAAAAATGCACAAAAAGAGAGTTAACAGAGAAAACTTTAATTAAAAATAAAACATGACACTTCTATTATAAAGAGAGGAAGGAGTGAGAAAAGGAGTAGAGTTTGGTTCTAAGAATTTTAAGGATAGCTAAGGATTTTGAAAGCTGCATTTGCAATTTTCTTTTTTGAAATAATTGTTTTTTGTAATTAGGTTTTTAAGAATAATCAGAAAGGAAAAACAAAAGCACTTTGTAAGCCTATTTCTTTTTGTTCAAATAAATTCTTTGGGATTATACTTTGCTTGAGCCCTTAACCTATGTTATATATAACTTTATAAAATTTCAGGTCTAATATTTATTTCTTTACTAAATTTAACTATTCATATATTAATTTATTACTAAAATTTTCATAAAATACTTATATATATATATTTTTAAAAATGATAGGGGGACCATGGCCATGGCCCCCCAGGCCTTAAGAAGTGCCGCCATTGTTGTTGATTAGGATTACACATTTGAAACAAAAATCTGAAAGTAAAAGTTGTAAGTGGGATGGATGACTCATGCCACTTGTACCTTATTTTGAATTAATTTATAAAGAACTATAATGATTTAGCTACAATCAAACTTCATAAGATTTAGTTTAGAATCAAACTCGTTTGAATAGATAATCCGAACTTGATTGTTCTATATTTCAGCTCAAAAGTTTAGAAAATTGCAGATCGCTTGTTCTAGTGAACAAGCTTAATCTCATGTTCAAACTTAGGGCCCGTTGGAGCCCAAAATTTTCACGTTAAAAGTGTTCTAAAATTGAATTTAATATCACATGTAGCTTAAGCTCAGACCAAAACATGGATACTTTCTTAATGAGCTCAACCTGACATGTACCATAAAAAAAAAAAAGCACTGACATCCCTTCTTTTTTTTTTTTTAGTATTTATGATCTAGGTGTTTTTGATTAATTTTTATTTATTTCAAAGCTGATTTTTCTTTAAATGATATTAAGAATGCATTTTTCATGTCGACTTAATACATTTTCAAACCCTGAAACTTAAAACTTAAACTAGAACTTCACCTACGGCTAATTCTTTAACCTCTAAACCTTATGATTTCCTTCTCACATTGCAATGATGTTTCTTTTTGCTTTTCTTTGCTTAAACTTGTCAAGAAGAATAAATCATGAATACCAAAAAATCAATCCACCCATGAAAAAACCAAAATAGCATACTCAGCATCATATGTTGTTGCATCATTACTAAATAATCGAGCAACAAAATCCACCACAACACCACATGCTCCCCAAAATATAACTATCATCAAACTAAAGACAATAGGCATAAAGGGAAAAAGGAGATTCAATCAAATTCAATCCCCCTTATTTAGCAAATCACTAATCATATGTTTGAATTGAGGATTTGAAGAGAATGAAAGAGAAGATAAAGTTTTTTAGTCAATCAAATTATAATGTTTTAAAAATATTATAATTTAATTGATTAAAATTTTTTTCCTTCCCCTCTCTTTCTCTCCGCTTCTCTCAATTCAAACATATTATATTATTGGCAAAAATCATCTCTCCTCTCCGATTGGCACTAGCAACCATCCCCGAGAATTACATCAATTTGCCAACTAATTTGACTGTATTTAATGTCTAATTTCTTCGATATGTTGCAAAAATCAGAAATGGTGGGGCCGATGCGCTGGTATTCTGTCTCTATAGAACCTTTCGGCGTGGAACATGCCTTGCTTGATTTTTCTTTTACAAGCCGGAGAAGACAAACAGGGTAGTGCATTACTGGGTCAGAGTAGGATCTTTACTCTGGTTGACAATTCCCGAAGTTGGTAGATTCGCACAGGAAAACAGGCCAACCAACGAGGGATTGGATTAAGTGGTAAGCGGTTTGTTCTAATTTAAATAAGTAAGGTCTCGAGTTCAAGAACTTGTGAATGCAGCAGTCATCGCTGGGAGACTCACCCACCATTTCCAGGTGCACGACGTGGATCAGGTCTGGATTAGTCGGGGTGAAGTCCCGGATACTAGACGGGAAACAAAAAAAAAAAAACAGGAAAAACAGGCCCAAGTTGGTGGGGTTGGTTGGCATTGCTCAAAAAAGGTGCCACAACCACCATACTGCTGCTCCCACAGTAATGGCTCGGCCGATGAATGTCGGTGATCTGTGGCGGTGACCTGCTGATGAGGTGTAGTTAACGGCCAAGGATTTGGCGGTTGTTGATCCAGATTTCAGGCTGCACAC